AGGAATTCTGGGAGTTGAAGTCCACAAGTCTTAAAGTTGCCAAGGTTGGACACCCCTGCTTTAGGGAGAAGTTTATCCCAGAATTGCCCCCTTGACAGTGCAGAGTTAAAGCTCAGCTGGAGATTTGAGTCTGCTTAACTTTACTGATTCCTTCCCAGCTTTTTCTATCCTTGGAGGAGCCAGAAATTCTTAATCCAGAATTTAACTAGTCTCACCCACCCTTTCTTCTTGTCCCACAGGGAAGCTACTTGGCACACACCCAGGGGAAAAAACATCAGACCAACTTGTAAGTTGCTAATCGTAAGCACCTCTTTCCTTTATTTTTATCTAAACCTCTCCCCCTGTTCCCCTATTCTTGCATAGGGTAAAAGCCTATACACTTAGAAAGAGCAAAGAGTATATTGGGAATCGGCTAAAAGTATGCTAGTTACAAAGACACAATTGTCTTTCTGTAGCCTTGGGGCAGTCTGGGATGTAGCGTTTTTGTTTTTTTTCATGACATCCGTCAGCCTTCCTCTACCTGATAAGAAACTGTCTCAGGAGTACTCCTTTGGCGGTAGACACAGTGTGTGTGATTTCTCCTAAGATTGTGCCGCTATGTGTATGTGGGGTGTGAGCGCGTTGTCTGAAAGCTCCAGTTGAAGGCCAGTTTCACCGTTCAGCATTACATGAAAGTTTATTTGATCTCAGAAGCATTCCTAGTAACTATAGTTAAAAGCAATTTGGATAGTTTTGTTTGTATGGAGGGAGAACCAAGCCAGGGCACATGTTGCTTCTTGTTATTCTATAATTATTCTAAGATATTTAATTAAGATATGTAATTATTTTCGGATATTTCTAGAAGCAGATAGGTCTCCAAGCAGGGGTGGGATTCTACAGGTTCGCACCTATTCGCTAGAACCAGTTGTTAACATTCTAAGCAGTTCTGAGAACCGGTTGTTAGAAGAAATTACTGGCCTAATCCTGTAAGGAAGGCAGGAAGGAAACATTCTGGTGTTGCTTACAGAAACTGCCTCTCTGTTAACCCTTATTACATTCTTGGCAGGACTAGACTTCCTCTCTCTGGAACTTCTCTGGAGTTTTTTTCCCCCCCTCCTTTGCTGATACTTTGCTTGTGTGGAGTGACCATTGAAAAAAGTGACTTAAGACCGTTTTTCACACTTACGACTGTTGGAGCATCCCCACAGTCACGAGGGGCCAGGCGAGGAGATGCGTGCCTCAATGTGAATGATGTTGAGTTGGTCACACCCAGCCAGTCACATGACCACCAAGCCACTCCCACCAACTAAGCCACGCCCACAGAACCGGTTGTTAAAAAATTTGAATCCCACCCGTCTCCAAGTATTGTTAATAAAGCGGTGGGACCGATATAAATGGCAGTGCGCGTGCGCGACTCTCCCGCCCCACTGTGCGTGCGTGCACGACCCCCTGCATGCACACCACGTACCTCTGTGCATATGCGTGCGACCCCCCCCCATGCTGCGTGCCTCTGCGTATGTACAGGCGTCTCCACCACGCATGCGCGTCAGATACCGGACAATCGGCTAGCGGGGGCGCACGCATGTACAGTGGGGCTCTTCTGGGCAACTTCTCGTGTGCCGGCAGAAGTGGCTCTGTGTGCCACTTCCGACATGCGTGCCATAGGTTCACCATCACAGTACTAGACTAGTATTTTTTTCAAGGAGGCACGGTGGCTCAGCAGTTAAAGATGGTCGGCTAGAAAGCTGACAGTATCTAACAAAATGAAATTCAGTGTAGAGAAAAGTAAAGTCCTACACTTAGGCAAGAAAAACCAAAAGTGCACATATAAACTGGGTGAAACCAGGCTCAATAGCAGTAACTGTGAGAGGGATCTTGGAGTCTTAGTGGACAACCAGCTAAATATGAGCCAGCAGTGTGCAGCAGCAGCCAAAAAAGCTAATGCAATCCTAAGTTGTATTAACAGAGGGATACAGTCAAGATCAAGGGAAGTACTAATACCACTCTATAAAGCCTTAGTAAGACCACACCTAGAGTACCGCATCCAGTTTTGCTCACCACATTATAAAAAAGATGTTTTTTTTAATAAATTTTTATTGGTTTCTAAAACAAACAAACAAAACATAAAAACATCAAATCATCTTCCATATATGTACATACAGTGTGCTGGTTGGTTTACAAATTGTTTTGTGCTTCCATTTCATAGTCTTCAATTATAATTACATTGTATATAATCTCGTATTTTCAATCAATATATTAAATACATTAATATCATTATTAATCATTTGACTATACTTTTATTCAATCATGTTTTCCAAAATGATCATATTTTACTTAATTCGTTTTATGACAATTCAGATTATCATCCCAGATCTATCCTAGAATCATTTTGTAGATATAATAAGAAAAGAATACATCTTTATACATTTATTATTTTCTAAAAGTCTACATATTTCATTACTATATTTTATTGTCTAACCTTTGATAGAATAGATCCCAAATTTTATAAAATTGTTTATCATCTTGTTCTCCAAATTCAAATGTCAATCTACTCATTTCAGCACATTCCAATATTTTCTTAATAATTTCCTCCTGTTATGGTATTTTCTCATTTTTCCAGTTTTTAGCAAATACAATCCTAGCCGCTGTTAATACATTTACAGTCAGGTATTTCAAGTCTTTACTATATATTTCAGGTAAAATTCCCAATAAAAATATTTCTGGTTTCAAATCTATATGCTTTTTTGTCATTTTTTCCAACCATGTGTGGATTTTAGTCCAGTATTTTTTAGCATCCACACAAGTCCACCACATATGGTAATATGAGCCAGGTATCTGATGACATTTCCAATATTTTTCGGATTTATTCTTGAACATTCTTGCTATTCTTGTCGGGGGAAAGTGCCACCTGTAAAACATCTTATACAAATTTTCTTTATATGCTGTTGACATTGTCATTTTATAATTTTGAGACCACAATTTTTGCCATTTCTCTAGATCAAGATGTGTGAGACTCTAGAAAAAGTGCAGAGAAGAGCAATCAGGATGATTAGGGGACTGGAGGTTAAAACATACAACGAACGGATGCAGGAACTGGGCTTGGCTAGTCTAGTAAAGAGAAGGACCAGGGGAGACATGATAGCAGTCTTCCAATATTTGAGGGGCTGCCACAGAGAGGAGGGGGTCAATCTATTTTTTAAAGCGCCTGTAGGCCAGACAAGGAATAATGGATGGAAACTGAACAAGGAGAGATTCAACCTGGAAATAAGGAGAAACTTTCTGAAAGTGAGAACAATCAACCCATGGAACAGAAGTTGCCCTCGGAAGTTCTGGGAGCACCATCACTTGAAACTTTCAAGAAGAGATTAGACTGCCATTTGTCAGAAATGGTGTAGGGTCTCCCGCTTGAGCTGGACTAGATGACCTACAAGGTCCCTTCAAACTCTGATTATCTGTTATCAGACCGGGCTTGAGACCCAAGCACAGCATGACTTGTGCAGGAATAATTTTAAAGACCTTATTCACAGGTGCTGAAATATTTATTGGTTCCCCCAATGGTGAAGACCTTTGTAAAAGACACCCCCCCCCTTTTCTCAGAGTGGTTTGTTAATTTCGTTCCCCTTCCTTTCATCGACAGAGCTCGACGAGCTGCCAAAGAAGCCAAAGAGGCCCCAGCTCAGCCTGCTCCAGAAAAGGTGAAGGTGGAAGTGAAGAAATTTGTGAAAATTGGCCGGCCAGGATACAAAGGTAGGCCCCTGCGACTCCAGGAGGCCTCAGAAATGGTCTCACCCTGATGGGATAAGGCCGCCCCCACTCATGCCTGCAGAAGGCTCTGCGAGGCAAGGAATTTTGGCTGGCAGGGTCCAGAAAAAGAGCCTTTTCTGTCTTGGCTCATGCCCTCTGGAACATTCCCCCACTCCTGAGGTCAGATCTGTTCCCGCCCTTTTGACTTTCCGAAAGGCCTTGAAGATATGACTGCACCAACTAGCCTGGGGCCCTAATGGGAATGTGACATGTTGGAGGTGGCTAATGCAGTAGAGAACACCCTCCCTCTCCATCTTGCTTAGTTTTATTTTGATTCAGTTTAAAATTTTAAAATCTTTATTTATTGTTTTAATGTTTTATTCTGAATATTATCCAACGTTTATAAGCTACCTAATCTCTGGTGAGATGGGTAGTATATGAGAGAGACAGACAGACAGACAGACAGACAAACAGCAAAGTATTCCACAGCATTTCTTTGGAAATAGTTGAATTTGAAATGGGTGTTTTTTCCCCCAACCGCTTTGTTCTTCCTGTGTGCTTGAAGCAGCCTTCATTTCATGGCTGCTTCATATTCATACTCATAAGAGCCGTGGTGACGCAGTGGTTAGAATGCAGTACTGCAGGCTAACTAACCGCTCACTCCAGGAGTTCGATCCTGACCAGCTCAAGGTTGATCCAGCATTCCATCCTTCTGATCAAACAAGGACCCAGATGGTTGGGGGCAATGTGCTGACTTTGTAAACCGCTTAGAGAGGGCTGTAAAGCACCATGAAGCGGTATGTAAGTCTAAGTGCTAGAGTAGAATAGAATAGAATAGAATAGAATAGAATAGAATAGAATAGAATTCTTTATTGGCCAAGTGTGGTTGGACACACAAGGAATTTGTCTTGGTGCAAATACTCTCAGAATACATAAAAGAAAAGATACATTCGTCAAGAGTCGAGAATCATAAGGTATGACACTTAATGATAGTCATAGGGTACAAATAAGCAATCAAATCATACTAGGAAACAGTCAGTATAAATCGTAAGGATACAAGCGACAAAGTTACAGTCATACAGTCACAAGTGGGAGGGGATGGGTGATAAGGAGTGATGACAAGATTAACAGTATTGGACAGTGTTGAGGGAATTATTCGTTTAGCAGAGTGATGGCTTTCGGGGGAAAACTGTCCTTGTGTCTAGTTGTTCTAGTGTGCAGTGCTCTATTGCATCGTTTTGAGGGAAGAAGTTGAAACAGTTTATGTCCGGGATGTGAGGTGTCTATTGCTATTGCTTTGTAGTTCTTTGAAGGGGACATTCAATAGGAGATTTGATTCTGAGCTCTTGGAGCCCAAAGCTGATGAAATAAAGGATCCTGTTGCGAACCCCTACTTACCCCTCTGTCTCTCTTTAATCCCTCCTTTCAGTAACCAAGCAGAGGGACCCAGAAACAGGCCAGCAGAGCCTCCTTTTCCAGGTAAAACACATATAATTTTTAAAATTTCTTTAATAAAAATTACATGCCAGTAGTCCTCAACTTACAACCCAGTTGCTTAGCGACCAATTGAAGTTAACGACAGATTTCTCTTGGGGCTACTTCAGGCATTGACAGCCATTTGCAGCATTCTGTGATGACATGATTTGAGTTTACGGTGGTTTTGCCAAAAGCTGGCATTTATTTCTGGTTCACCATTGTTCATTCAACAACTGCAGCACTCGCTTCACCGCTGCAGAAAAGGTGGTAAAATATGGCCAGTCAAGTGACCGACCTGTTTTACGGCCATCATAAGCTGAGGGCTACCTGTATGTGTGTGTGTGTGTGTGTGTGTGTGTGTATCCCCCAGCAACTAAGACTAACCTGAGCACAACCAAGCCCCCACCTGAACAGAACACACCTCCAGCCAATCAGAACACGGCCAACCCCTCAACCAATCAGAACACAGCCAAACCCCCAACCAACGAGAACACACCCCCACCCAATCAGAACACAGCCAAGCCCCCACCCAATCAAGTCACACCCCCACTAGCAGTTAAAAGGAAGAAGCAGCTGCAAGCTCACATCACTCTGAGAAGCACAGAGCTGAAGACAGAAGCCTGAAGATGATGAATGAGACTTCATCGAAACGTTGCCTAGATACTTCCAATCTTACGCGGGAGAAAACCTGAATAACCAAAGATCCACATACAAATACCCGCGAGAACCTCAGAAAACACACATACATACATACATACATACATACATACATACATATGTTCAAAAAGTGATTGGCTCAGTCAAAAAAAACAAAAAACCCAATTTTTTGAGTCCCTGGTGCATTCTGAGCTTGGTTGTTCCCCTGTACGTATTTT